GGTAAACCGTAGGGGCAGAGAGGAAGAGAGGGAGAAGAGAAGAGGACAACATACGAGGGAGGGGCTGTTGGGACAAACTGTTTCGTCAGAGTTTCACCTACCTACTCATCAGGAGGATGAACCCTATTTTAGGACGATATATAAAAACGAATTCATTATTTTCTCCTATAAGGAAGAAGAAAAAAAACGAATTCATTCTTTTCTCCTTTTTTTTTTTTTTTTTTTGCTTTTGCGCTCTGATATGCATGTGACGATGGTGAGCCGGACGCAGAGAGGGAGGGAGAAGAGGATGAAAAAAGCGAGGGGCTGTGGCAGACTGTTTCGTCGGACTTAGAGCGCAAAATCGAAAAAAAACAAAAAAAAAATCAATTCATTTTTTATCTTCTTACGTACAACTCCCCCTGTTCAAAACCCTCTTGCGTACAAGGCCGCCCACGTGGATGTAGTTTGAGCGGCGGCTGCCCTCCCACCCCCGTGTGTGTGTCATATCGACCCACTTGCACACAGCCAAAAGGCAAAGACTCTGCAAAGAAAGAGGAAGGCAACAGCCGAATATAACAAAACAGGGGGAAACAAACATAAACAAAATTTAATCCTAGATGACAAGTCCCACATGCAAGCACCGCCCCCTCCTCCTCCCTCCGTCACAGGCCAAACGACGTGACAAGCAAGACCAACCAGGATATCAATCAACACCCTTGCCTGCAACCAAGCAAGCAATCCCAGATAACAAACCTTTTTTTTTTTTTTTTTACCAAACCTTTTTCGTACTCACCAGCGACTCTGCAGCAACTCCAAGAATCCTTTGCGATTGTTATCTGTTGCAAAAACTGGTATTTTTTTTTGTTTTTTTTTTTACTGGTATCGTTTTACTCTTTCTGCTGCTTCGCTGTTCTACACTATAACATACTGGGACGTCACCAACGGCAAAAAAATCCAAAAAAATCCAAAAAAGACAATCCCAGATGACGATTCCCACAGAAAATCACCCGCCCATCGCACCAAGGCCGAACAACGGATGGGAAACAGCCAACTGCGTAGGATGCGAAAAGGATACCCCCCCCCCCCCTAAGGATCCTAGATGACAGGTCCCACATGAAATCACCGCCACGGACACCCTACCCCCCGTAAGCCGAACAAAGGGACGACACCAACCGGGATGCAGACAAGGGGGTGTCAAAATGACCAATTTGGAAACGAATTTTGCCATAAACATAGTAAAAAGATGGATCCTCGACCACTTTTTTTTGAAATATAAAGTTTCAACTTCTCAAAAAAAAGAAAAAAAAAAAAAGAAAAAGACGGATCCATACAGTACTAGGTCCGCAAAAGGAAATGACCCAACAATGGGGGTAAGAGCAAAGCAAAGAGAGGTAGAAGAAGAATTAGCAAGGATTATTTTGTATTCTCGTTTTTTGCAGACAAGAGTTTTGTGCCTGGGTGGGGTCTTGTCCTGTCGTTTGGCCTGTGAAGGAGGAGGGGGGGGGCGGTGCTTGCACGTGGGGCTTGGCATCTAGGATCCGTTTTTGGTGCTATTGCTTGTTGCCACCTGTTTTGTTGTATTTGGCTGTTCCTTTCCTCTTTTCTCTGCCTCTTTGCCCTTTGGCTGTGTGCAAGTGGGTCGATATGACACACACACGGGGGTCGGAGGGCAGCCGCCGCTCAACCTTCATCCACGTGGGCGGCCGTGTACGCAAAAGGTTCTGAACAGGGGGAGTTGTACGTAAGAAGATTAAAAAACGAATTATTTTTTATTTTTTCTTGTTTCTTCTGTTTTTTTTCGCCTTTGCGCTCTGATATTCATGTGACAATATATATTAATTCATCCTCCTGATGAGTAGGTAAGTGAAACTCCGACGAAAACAGTTTGTCCCAACACCCCCTCGTTTGTTGTCCTCTTCTCCCTCCCTCCCTCTCTGCCGACGGTTTACCGGGCAGTCCTGTTTTACCATATATATATTTTTACCGGTCAGCTCTGTTTTACGATATATATATTTACCGCGCAGTTCTGTTTTACGATATATATATATTTTTACCTTGCAGTTCTGTTTTACGATATATATCGTCACAAACAGAACATATATATATTTACCGGGCAGTTCTGTTTTACGATATATATATATTTACTGGGCAGTTCTGTTTTACGATATATATTTTTACCGCGCAGTTCTGTTTGACGATATATATCGTCAAACATATATATCGTAAAAGAGAGCTGCCTACGGTAAAAAACCGAAGGCAGAGAGGAAGAGAGGGAGAAGAGGGGACAACAAACGAGGGAAGGGCTGTTGGGACAAACTGTTTCGTCGGAGTTTCACCTACCTACTCATCAATCAGTAGAGGCTGAACCCTCAAAAACAGTCTGCAGAATCCCCTACCTACCCGATTACACTGAAAGTGATAATCGACCTTAACCCCGGTTTTGTGGTTAAGCATCAACGACTGCCCGACAACTGCAGTGATACCCTGAGGTGGTCCCCACCAACCACTGCCCTCAAGGTACCTGTGACGAAAATCAAAGCAGACGATCACTCACCCACACCACATGGAAAACTCTACGGACCGTCGGTTCACACTCCATCACAAGCAAGCAAAAGACCCACGAAACAAAGAAGAAAGGTCTATCACAGCCAAAAAATACACTGCAGACACGCCGCTGGCACGACAGGCACAGCATGGCGTATATATCAATACATACCAAAAAAAGAAAAAAAAAAAGAACAAATTGGTGAAGAGGAGAACAAAGAAAACAAGAAAAAATAAAATAAGAGAAAAATATTTCGAACTTTGTTGTGACAGTGGCAATTGGTTTATCTGTGGCATGTGTCATTTGCGTTT